TTCAATTCCGTCTTAACGCATTGAAACGCCATTAAATTTTCTTCGTCCTACGGATAAACGTAGAAAAAAAGGGATTTGCTAGGAGCGCTTCTTTTGTTTTGAGAACAATGAGCGTAAATATTCATGCAATGCGCTCTAACAGGATTTATGTTGTAGCTAATGAGCTAGCGCATCGGAACAAACCTATAATTGATTTGTGCACGTTGAAATCATTGATATTATTGATCTTTTCTGATCGATAGAACGGAAATGGGCGATTACGACGAAGTAGCGCTCTACCCTATCTCTATTCAATGGAAGACAACTCTGAGTGAAACCAAATATACCACCTTGGAGGGTATATTCTACAGAGCGTTGCACAATATTTCGTGAGAATACAACGAGAATACAGCTGGAGGGTAAAAATAATATTCCTTGTCCAATTTCACTTTTCATACGCAAACATAATTATAATTATTTAAATCTCAACAGTTCGGCTCTGGCTGAAAATCTCCTTAACACTCCGAATACGATGCCTCCGAAAAACGTGTAACGGCAAGTTTGCAATGTCATAACTTAGCCAGTTCTTAATGAATTTCAAAAATTATGGTACTTTTAGAATTCCTAGGGTTTGTAGATGATTTTGATTGCAAAAAAAATGAAAATAAAGTCATCTACTTTTTTAAAAAGCGAAAAGAGTTGTTACACGTTTTTTTGAAAAGTGTGTTTGTAGGGTTTTGCAAGTGGCGCAAGATCTGTCATTTAGATTAATGGGCACAAATGTTCACAATTAGCCACAAAACAGTCATGGTTCCTATATATGGATCCTTAAGTCAACGGAACAGTCCTCAAAAAATCCGGAACATCCGTAAAAGTGGTCAACCCATGGACCTGATCCTAGAGCTCTGCGGTTTTTTTGAAAATATTAGGAACTGTGATATAAAAATTTTGTTGGGGTCGTGACATAGAAATGTACCTGGATGGCCATGAGACCGTCCTCCGGAAGATCCGGAACATCCGTAAAAGTGGTCAATCCATGAAACTGATCCTAGAGCTCCGCGTTTTTTTAACATTAGGATCTGTGATATAAGAATGAATTTGGGACATGGACCCAGATGGCCATCGAACCGCCCAGCGGAAGATCCGGAACATCGGTGAAAGTAGTAGATCCACGATCCTGATCCTAGAGCTCCGCATTTTTTTTTAACATTAGGAACTGTGATGATAGAAGCAATTTGGGGTTGTGACATAAACATGAACCTGGATGTCCATGGGACCGTCCTCCGGAAGATCCGGAACATCCGTAAAAGTGGTCAATCCATGAAACTGATCCTAGAGCTCCGCATTTTTTGAAAAACACTCAGAACTGAGATGATAGAATGAATTTGGGATCGTGACATAAACATGGACCTTGATGGCCATGAGACCGTCCTCTGGAAGATCCGAAACATCCGTGAAAGTAGAAAATCCACGAAACTGATCCTAGAGCTCCGTGGTTTTCTTGAAAACGTTAGGAACTGTGATATTAGAATGTTTTTGGGATCGTGACATAAACATGAACCCAGATGGCCATTGGACCGTCCTACGGAAAATCCGAAAAATCCGTAAAAAAAATTTTTTTTATATCTTTATTAAGGAGACTTTCAGCCCTGGGCTGGTTCGTCTCCGGTAAAATCCGTAAAAGTGGTCAATGTATGGAACTGATCCTAGAGCTCCACGGTATTTTGGAAAAACACTAAATTAATTTGCGGTCGTGACATAAACATGTACCTAGAAGGTCATGGGACCATCCTCCGCAAGATCTAGAATATCTTTAAAAATGGTCAATCAATGAAACTGATCGTAGAGTTCTACGGTTTATTCGAAAGCATGTGGAACTGCGATATACGAAAGAATTTGGGGTCATGACATAAACATGGACCCAAATGGCTATGAGACCATCCTCTGGTAGGTCCAAAACATCCGTAAAAGAGGTCAATCAATGAAACTGATCCTAGAGCTCCGAAGTTTTTTTTTCCAAAAACATTAGGAACTGTGATATAAGAATGAATTTGTGGTCGTGACATAAACATGTACCTAGATAGCCATGGGACCCGGAAGACCAACAACATCCGTAAAATGGTCACTCCATAAAATTGATAGGTGGAAGCATTACTATGACGAGCACCTCAACGGTGATGCAGCAGAAAATGAAGATGGCACGGCAATAGACCTTGGAGCACGCGCAGAAGACGACTGGCCCCTGATCTTCAAGAAGTTGAGGAGGAGATCGGTCGGCTGAAGAACAACAAAGCAACTGGTGTAGATCAACTACCAAGTGAGCTATTAAAATGCGGTGGTGAAGTACTGGCTAGAGCGCTGCACTGGGTAATTGCCAAGATTTTGGAGAAGGAGATATTACCGAAGGAGTGGATGGAAGGTGTTGTATGCCCAATCTACAAAAAGGGCGACAAGTTGGATTGCTGCAACTACCACGCGATCACAATGCTGAGCGCCGCCTACAAGGTACATTCCCAAATTATATGCCGCCGCCTGTCACCATTTGCTAGAGTTCGTGGGGCACTACCAGCCGGGATTCATGGGTTCATATTCGCGAATCGATCCTAGAGCTCTGCAGTACTTTTTTAAACACTGTGATATAAGAAACCACAGGATCACTTTTACGGATTTTCCGTATCTTCCTATAGCCATCCAGGTCCATGTTTTTGTCACGACCACAAATATCACAGTTCCTTATGTTTTTGTAAAAAAAACTGCGGAGCTATAGGATCAGTTTCATTGATTGACCTCTTTTACGGATGTTCTGGATTTACCAGAGAATGGCCCCATGGCCATTTGGGTCCATGTTTATGTCATGACTCCAAATTCTTTCTTATATCGCAGTTCCACATGCTTTCGAAAAAAAAACGTTGAACTCTAGGATCAGTTTCGAGGATTGACCATTTTAAAAGCTGTTCTAGATCTTGCGGAGGACAGTCCCATGGCCTTCTAGGTACATGTTTATGTCACGACTGCAAATTAATTTATATATGACAGTTCAAAGTGTTTTCGAAAAAACCGTAAAGCACTAGGATCAGTTCCACACATTAAACACTTTTCCGGTTTTTCGGATCTTCCGGAGGACGGTCCGATGGCCATCAAAGTCCTTGATTATGTCACGATCCCAAATTCATTCTAATATCACAGTTTCTAACGTTTTCAAGAAAACCACGGAGCTCTAGCATTAGTTTCGTGAATTGTCCACTTTCACGGATGTTTCGGATCTTCCGGAGCATGGTCTCATGGCCATCAAGGTCCATGTTTATGTCACGATCCCAAATTCATTCTATCATCTCAGTTCTTAGTGTTTTTCAAAAACTGCGGAGCTCTAGGATCAGTTTCATGGATTGACCACTTTTAAGGATGTTCCGGATCTTCCGGAGGATGGTCCTATGGACATCAAGGTTCAGGTTTATGTTACAACCCCAAATTGCTTCTATTATCACAGTTCCTAATGTTTATAAAAAACGCAATTTTAGGATCAGGATCGTGGATTTACTACTTTTACGGATGTTCCGGAGCTTCCGCTGGACGGTCCCATTGCCATCCAGGTACATATTTATGTCACGACCTCAAATATTTTTTTATATCACAGTTCCTAATGTGATTACGTGATTACCTCTCACCCCAGCAGGCCTGGGTTCAATCCCAGTCGGCGCCGCCGGGATGTTCTGAGGCATAACATCTCTGATCACGCCTTCCTTCGGATGGGAAGTAAAGCCGTTGGTCCCCGGTTCATGAGTTGATGGGTCGATAGGTAGGGTCCAGGTGGTGGAGCTGCCTTCCTGGCACGTCGGTAGTATTGGTGCTCAGCACGGAAAACAAGATCGACGGAAAACAAACCAAGGGTAAAAAAATCTGAAAGTGGGTACACACAGCAAACAGACATATCACTCGCAAGTTGTTCATTGAACAAGCATTTAGCGGTAATTTTAAAAATACCGTAGTTGGCGAGATGAACCGTCACACGGTCTAAGCCAGGGAAAAGAGGAGCAGCGAAAAAAAAAATACCGTAGTTGGTAGTACCGCCACCTGTGGCGCTCATAGTCAATTACCTTGCAATTGAGGTTACACACTACCGCCATCTGTTCAGCGTACTGCCCACCACAGTGTACTCAACAGATGGCGGTAATGTTTTAGCGACGATGTTTTACAGTGCGAAACATTCAATGTGTTATGTCTGTTTGTCTGTGGTGCATACATCTTTCTCCACCCGTAATTTTTAAATAAAGAAGTGAAGACATGTTGACGATCCCCTCCATATTACCGATAGTTAACTGTAGTCTTGTTAGCTGGAGCCATGACCCCCCCTAAACCAAAAACCGAAAGTGGTATTGGTTTGCGTGGGCGTACTTTGGTTCGCGTGTAAAGGGCCTTAGAAAGTTTGTTTACAAATGCTTTTGTGCCGTTATTAAATGTTATGCCTAAGTTGACCTCTTCCGATTTGTACGAAATTTGGAAGATATATTTATTTTTCTTTTTTTTTCTAACACCATTGCGACCAGTATTTTGATCTAGTGTAGTATGTGTCGTGTCTAGCGCATGTCGTATTACTCCATCACGATAGAGACATTATGAAGTATTCGATTTTTTACAGTTGTCATTGTTGTCTTCATTGCAAGGAATCGATTCTAATTGAAAGATCCCGCTATTTATACCCTTCGGAGTGTTGGAACACACTACAAAGGGGGACCCCTTTGTGAGTCAAAATTTTGAGTCCTTAGAAACAAAAATAAGAAATGACACCGATAATGAACTTGCATCGAACCCTAGTATTAACCACTTCAAACTAGACAACAACGAATAGAATATTAGGAATTGCATAGATGAAAACTAACTAACTCATTTTTCAAGATCATTATCGGTGGACAAAGCCGAGTCTTATCATTATCAACAAGGCATAAAAAGTAACAAGGACTAAGATGTGTTCCTTTGATTACTGACAAATCACCGATCACTTTAGGTTTTTTGATTACTGTGTTCATTTATTTTCCATCGGTACCTTAAAATTAAAAAGAATACATCAGACAAATGCCATTTGCAAGCGACATCATCTAAGCAGCAATATCCTCCACTGCTGTATTATTTGACGCTCCATATTGCATCATCAATCGATCGAATTCGGACTGCTTCTTGTTGTACGTCGCTACCAGTGCGCTATCCTTATGCTCGTCAAGAACCTGGGAGAGATACCGATTGAACTGGCTGTTGGTTTTCTCTTTCTGCTGAGACAATGCCAGCAGGTTGATCAATGCATCGTAATTGTTCGGGTCCCGATTCAAGCATTCCCTCAGGACATTTTCAGCATCTTCATACTTCTGCTGACCAATGTAGCACACGGCTTGCCCGTTCATTAGCAGCAACGAGGGCGAAAACTTATCGCAGAAATCTTGAAAAATGAAGAATGCATCCTGGAGCTTTTCTCCCCCAAGCTGAATGTTCAACCAAGCCTGCGAAAGTTGCGTCAGAGTGGCATCGTCATCCTTTTCCTGCATGGTCTGCAATACCTGCTTGGCCAGATCCACGCGGGACATGTTGAGTAGACATTGAAGCTGCAAGGACAGGCATTCCAGATTGAAGTTTCCGTGCAAGATTCTAGAATGAAAATAATTCAGTAACAAAAAGTCTTCGGTAAAGACGTACTCTAGAGTTTCGTACCTCAGGGCAGATTCATAAGTTCCCTCGTTGCAGTAAATGGTGGCACCGACGATGATCCAAATCACATCCAGCGCATTAATGTCGCCTTTGAATTTCTCATCGAAGAGATCCACAATTGCTTCCTTGCGGGATTTATTCGACAGATATTCTGCCAAGTGGCGCAGCGCCAGCAGTGGGGTTTCATTATTCGGCTTTATTTCGTCCAACACCACCCGGTACTTGTGCTGAGCAATGTATGCCCGGTAAAGGAACACGTCCTTTTCCAATGATGGTTTCTAAAAGATTGATGGAATACAATTTCTGAAAGTTTCAATCAGACCTGTTTCTGCACCTACGTTTATCTTGTTGGCCTCGTTGATGCAGTGTTGATAGTTGCCGATGTAGAAGGAATTTTTCACATCGAATAACTCATCCACTTCGTTGGATTGCCGGCTCATTTTAATTATTGACTATTACTCAATCCCTTAAGAAACTAATGAGAAGACTTTTGCGCGAATTCTTATAGAGTTTTCAGAATAATTAGCAAAAGTACAGAAAAGTGACGTGGAATCTGGAATGCAAAATAATTTTGTATACACAAGCTGTTGACGTTTCGTTTATTTGGCAGATCTAAAGAATTATTATTCTTTTTTATGAAAGCAACACTCTTGCGGTCGGTATTCAAACTATCGGCCTATAAATGAGCACTAAATACGGTCGATCAGACTAACTCAAAATTGAGTCATGCTGACTAGAAATACTCAGGAGAGATGGGCGGAGAGAATGATTTGAGCCAAATGAACTGCCAAAATCTGAGTCAATCGAACACTCCCATTAGATTTTGTCCGAGGATTTCTTATTTTTATTAGATTAAATTTAAGAGTATTGCAATCGAACAGAAATTCAATCACCTCTATGTTTCTTGTGCTTCTCAAATTCAACTAGTTTTTGGAATCATAAACAATACTCTAACCTCGATTGTAACTCTATATCTTAGTTGGTTAAATAATGGCATCAAGAATATTGCGATGCAATCAATGGATCATTTTAGATGGCTGAGTTTTGAACCCACCACAGCTTTCATTTGGCGCTACTGTATACGGACGAACCAATGTAAAATACTGTGGTAGCCACAGTACGGTGCTGTCAAAACCTCAGCATCTTCAATGATCCATTATTATTTGACACGTAAATTGAATCAAAAACTAAAAGTCATGTGAAATGCTGGCTTCTAGCGAAGACTTCATATCAAGAAGACTGCCAGAATCCAAGCGACACATACAGTAGCGCTGGGCTTGAGTGAAGGTGGAACCAACGCATAGAAAAATGAGCAAATACACAAACCTTTCTTCTGAGGATGTAATCTTTGCCATCAAATTCGTTCGAAGCATTTACCTTTGAGCGGCAGATGATGCGATTGTACCTGTCGCATACACAGCAAAAAAAATGTAATATCGATTAATGTAATTCAAGCTGATGTATGAAATAATGATGTAATAGCAAAAAGCAGATACAATATTACATCAATGGATGTAATTTTGTTCGCAAAATCGAAGTACATCGTACAACGTTATATTACACAACCGATGGATTGACCTGGTTGCAGCAGTTTGGATGTAATATTCAACAACTTTTTTTTTTCTGTGTAGCGTTAATATGAGAAAATTGAAGAGTTGCCAGTATTTTTGATATGTTGTCTTCGCTTTTAGCAAGGGTTGCAAGATAATTTAGATACAAATCTCACTCTTTCACTCTACTCAAAACTGAAATGCATAAACATAAAATACAAAATGATACACTCTTTCCACACTGTCAAAGATCATTGCACACAAAATGAACTTTGTTCAAATCAAATAAAAATAATGGCACAAGCTTCTAAGACAATTCTATTACAGCAAACCACATTATTTTAATTGATTTCTTCGCCAGTTAGTCGTCTGTCACTTCATTTGTGCTGATAGGTATTCAGTTTCAAGTAAGCTTTTATTGAATATTGAGAAGTTCATACTGAACGAGAAGCAGTTTATGATTAAGACCGAGGATAAGCGGGAAATTCCGATGTAAGTGTACCTGTTGACGTACGTGATGCATCGCAACATTGTCAACAGTTCGATTGATTCAAGAACGACAAGTTCTTCCAGGTTGTGATGGAAATCCAAGGCTTCCGGGATGGATCTGTTCGAGTTTATCGATCCAGACCCGTGCTGACGGAGAAGCTGGGTCGTTGGATCATTCTACAGGTTGTTTTCATGCACTCGTTTAACATTCTGCTCCGGGACATCAAATAACAAATAACGATAACAATTTCCATATCTAGCTGATTGACTTTGGATCGGCGACGTTCGTACAAGAAGGGAAATGTGGGCTCTCGGTGTGACACTATACGCACAGACAAACAGACATAACACATTGAATATTTCTCATTGTAAAACATCGTCGCTGAAACATTACCGCCATTTGTTGAGTACACTATGGTGGGTAGTACGCAGAACAGGTGGCGGTACTGTGTAAACGTTAAACGTAAGGAAATTGACTATGCGCGCCACAGGTGGCGGTACTACCAACTACGATACTTTTAAATTTACCGTTAAATGCTTGTTCGATGAACAACTTGCGAGTGTTATGTCTGTTTGTCTGGGCTATACGTGTTGATGTTCTTCGGGAACCCATTCGTGGACGTTGAGGAAATCCTGCAATCCAAACGGATAATTCCGCACGAAATCAACGAAGAATTGGAGTACGTGTTGCTTTAGCTGTTGGATAAGAATCCCAAAACTCAGATCACCCACGGTAAAAACTTGTCACATCTAATCCAAATTCTCTTGCACTTGACTCAGTCTGTCATGCGGCACTACGAATCAAAATGATTTATTATTGATTTTCAAGTGATTTGCGTTTTGAAACAAAGTGATTTATCGTTGAAAAATATGTACTGCATAACACCTTTAAATCAAAATGATTATCATTTGAATTGGCACCACTGATTTCATCCATTGAATTTGATTAGTTTTGCTTTTGGAAGCAAACGTGAAAAACGCACATGCCAAACATTACTCGCGAAGATGGCAAGTCAACAACAAATAAATTAAGAGCAAGAAAGCGATAATTCTCCATTTCCATTTGCATTCTAGAGCGCGAGTATTACGAAATTGTTGCTGTATTCAATAATAGCACAGACAAGCAGACATGACACTCGCAAGTTGTTCAACGAACATGCATTTAACGGTCAATTTAAAAGTATCTTAGTAGGTAGTACCAACAATCAATACGAAACTAACGATTTTAAATTGGCTCACCACTTTAGTAGCCTATTGGTCCCAAGCAAACGATTAACGTACCCTATTCCAGTCGAAATTCTAGTACTACGCAATGTTTGTTTTGATTCGCTATGAAAGTTTGACAGATAAAATGAGGGGTTATTGGTTTTACCTATGTTTCGAGGGGTGATTCGACAAGCTTGGGACCGAAGATAGTACCAGAGGTGAGCCAAAAAGTTGAGCACGTTTCTTCAGGACCTACTTGTCTTAGAGTTACCTCTATGGTAGTACCATAGAGGTAACTCTAAGACTGGAAGGTCCCGAAATAACGTACTCTACTTTTTGGCTCAGCTCTGGTACTCTCTTCGGTCCCAAGCTAATCGATTCACCCCTCGAAACATAGGAAAAACCAATAACCCCTCATTTTATCTGTCAAACTTTCATAGCGAATCAAAACAAACATTGCGTGGTACTAGAATTTAGACTAGAATAGGGTACGTTAATCGTTTGCTTGGGACCAATAGGCTAGTCAAGTAGTGAGCCAATTTAAAATCGTTAGTTTCGTATTGATTGTTGGTAGTACCGCCACCTGCGCATATCACTGTAACTGGAAAGTACCCATTAATGGGTAAAAAAGTGCCCATTTCGCGGTAAAGTAGGTAAACTCATAAAATGGGTAAAACGTCTTTACCCACTTATGGGTAAAGAGCTTATACGTCAAATCATGGGGTACTTTTTACCCATTTCCATATTGCATTGTTTTCCGTAACTGGGTAAAAAAGTACCCATTTTTTAAAATGTATTTATGGGACTCAAATTTGTGGAATGAAACAAATATGCTTTTAACAACGTTATAAGCTAAGAAATCATTCAAATCATATAGTGTTTCTTACCTTGAAGCTTTTTGAAGATATCACCACTCTTTAAACTATTCATATATATCACATTTTGAACTTTTCAAAACGGAACAAAAGCACTCGACAATGTAAACCAAGTATATCAGCAACGCTATGGTGTAATAAAGATATTTTTCACCCAATAATGGGTAAATTTGTACCCATTTTTGATTCCTGAACAGGTTTCGGAAATGGGTGAAAAATTACCCACTATTTGAAATTTTCATTTACGCATTTTTTGACAGGTCCATACACTACCACAAAATGGGTACTTTTTCACCCATTAATGGGTACTCGCCAGTTACACTATAGTCAATTCCTTTGCGTTTGACGTTTACACACTACCGCCATCTGTTCAGCGTACTACCCACCACAGTGTACTCATCAGATGGCGGTAATGTTTTAGTGACGATGTTTTACACGAGCTACTAGCACAAACGAAGTGACAGACGGAGCGGCTCGAAAACTTTGGTGACTAACCTGCTATTTCATTTTTTCTGTGTACCACATGGCAACACCACTACTACTAGACTGTACCACATGGCAACACTGCTACTGGATTGTACTAGCATTTTCACCAAATGTATTAGAATGTTTTGGTTCTATCTCTTTCACTCTACTCAAAACTGAAATGCATAAAAAAAATGACAAAATGATACACTCTTTGCACACTGTCAAAGAATCATTGTGTGTACAATCTAACCCCCACTGTCCGGCAGTGTTATTATGGAAGAAAACTGCTTTTTATCACCCTTAAATTAAAGCAGGTTTAGTCCGGGAGTTAGAAGGTGTTAGCTCTATTGCAGCTCCAGTGACCCATTTCAGAATGCCTGGTAATTCACGACCACTCCGAGGTCACTTTTACTTACAATAAGCCCCGCATGTTCACTCTACCTTTATCAAATGGATAACGGTATCATAAACACACTTCCAGATTCAAAAAATATTATTTCCAAATCTGGCACGTATATAGTTTTGAAATGTAATCAACTGTATTAAAGTGATTTGAATGGACATTTCTTACCAATTTTGTTTCGAATACCTCTTGATTCATCTGCTGGCAGCACTTACTGGCCCTTACCAGCGACCAACTCATCTGCCCGCAAAAGCAACAACGTCTAAATATCAAAGCTCTCCGGACGTCCCCTCGAAAATGCAATCGAGATATGTATAAGAACAATCTTCAACTGGAACGTACTCACCAAATCAATACATCCGGAAGCACATTCCCGATGCTTATTTTTCTCTCGCAAAAAAAGGGAACTCGGTGAGCAATTTTGTGATACGGAATTTTCACTGAGCATAAACCGCGAATTTACGAATTTCACCACACCCAACTGCGAAACACGTTCAGAAGCACTTTTGGTACACTTTCGATCAATTTCTTTCGAAAACACAAAAAAAGTTGCAGTCGAGCCAACATCAACACCCGAGTCAACACCGATTGTGCCGAACTCTAACTCTTTCACGCACCTTGCAGCGCGCAAATAAACTGAAATTAAAAATTATCACTCGCGATGCCACTAATTTCTGGCCCGGGATAAAATCAAATAACGCAGATTGCGGCATCTCTTCTGATGCTTGCAAACATGTTGAATCACGTTTTCTTTCTCTATTCTAAAACTTCCCGGAAATCGAGAAAACTACCAATCACACACGTATAAACGTCCGGGAGGCAGAGCGCCAGTGCTAATCCGGCAAATGTAGCCGAAAACTATGAACGCGAACGCACGCACAAAACAGAGAACAACCGTATCCAAAGGCGTTTGAAACTCTTGCACACTGTCAAAGAATCATTGTACACAAAATCAACTTTGTTCATATCAAAACAAAAAAACTAACCCATCTGGTGGATGATGGCACAAGCTTCCAAGAAAATTCTATTACAGTGAATCACATTATTTTAATGGATTTCTTCACCAGTTAGTCGTCTGTCACTTCGTTTGTGCTACTAGTCTTAGAGTTACCTCTATGGGTATACTAAGCGAAGAAACTAGAAAGTAAACGGGTGTCGAAATAACAATCTTTTCCCTCCTCGATGACCGTAAGGAGGTGGCCGGCGCCGTTATTGACCTCAAAAATAAGGATCCACCGTGGATTGCTAATCCCAAACCCCATTCATATGTTTTCATATGCTTTCAACGGCATATATCGCAAAAGAATAGAACGGATTCACTTTTCGTATACTGTTTAGATGTTTTACTTTAACACTCTATTGAGACCGTATTTCTTATGTAAAAATAAAGAAATAATCATTTGATATTATGGTTATGGTTTGACTCTATCACGCGGTGCATTTTACCCCAATGTTGTGGTGCGTTTTGTTCACTGTTGTCGTGCGTCTTACCCCAATGTTGTGGTACATATTTATTGCACCGTTAATCGAGCGTTTTGTTTTACCATAGAGGTAACTCTAAGACTAGAAACTCCCGAAGAAACGTGTTCAATTTTTTGGCTTGGCTCTGGTACCCTCATTTTATCTGTCAAATTTTCATTACGAATCAAAACAAACATAGTGTAGTACTAGAATTTGGACTAGAATGGGGTACGTTAATCGATTTGCTTGGGACCAATAGGCTCGTCAAGTAGTGAGCCAATTTAAAATCGTTAGTTTCGAATTGATTGTTGGTTTTACCCCGCTATCATTTTGGAATCGACTTAAACAATGCCTAGAATAGCATAAAAATCATCGTTTTGGAGTTCGAAATCACTCGATCTTCGTAGAAAACATTGTAATGAACCATACTTAATTACTTTCTCCTTGTTTTTAGCACAGACAAACAGACGTAACTCTTTGAATAACTTTTTCTTGAATACAGTGTACATTAAAAAACAGAACATCAGTTACGACATCTCTCGAGCTTCTCACGGAAAACAAGCTTGCTCGCAGAGTCGTCAACAATGTTGCCAGGGTAAACAGAATATACAGAAACGTCAAAGTATTTCGATTCCAGCGCTTCGGTGAGCAGTTCACGCACATGATAATATTTAAATCAATCGTTCAATGCGTGAACGATGATCCAGATTGAAGTGTTACGTCTGTGATTTTAGCTTCCATACACAAGCAATTGACGATTGATCATTTTAGATGGTCAAGTTTTGAACCCACCACAACATGTTTTTGGCGCTACTGTATATGGACGATCAAATGTAAAATACTGTGGTAGGCACAGCTAATTTCTATCAAAATCTCAGCATTTTAATTGCTCCATTTTGCTTAAATGGTGCATTTTGCACCATCCTACACTAAGAAAATTTCAAAGATTGTTTTATTTGTCCCACACATGATTTCTATGTTTCGGACACATACTTAATATGTGTACACATAAAAGCTATGTGTGACCACACATACTATTCATTTGACTTATAAATTTCATGTGTACTTCTGAGTGGATTCTGTTTATGTGTGATTACTTGAAAATCATGTGGTATTTCACATGGAAATTCGTCAATAAAAATGTGCGGAATTTTTGAAGATGCGTGATACAGAGAAGGAAAGAGGTTAAAGTATCGAAAAACTTGAGGACGTCATATTTGAATCAGGAAGAGGTACATCTAAAAAAATCAGATAGTATGCATTTCTTTCAGTGCCAAAAATATTTCAACATTCAGTCTAGTTTGTTACCGAGTCGTTTATTGAGATTGATCAATTAATCAAGTAATGCTTACAAAGTACAGTATTACTATTAAACATTTCTGTTCAAACATACAAACGGAGTGTTTCATCCTTTTGCTTTCCTGTACTGTACTGTACTACACTAATAATAACTCACGAAATCTAAGCGTTTCTTGTTCACGATCCACGATCAGCTGCTGGACGGCTTCCGTTTCCGTCATCATCGTCGGTGACCCAAATCCTCCACTAAACGTTGATATATGTTGGCACTATAAACTGACCGGCCACTCAACAAGCTTCACAGTTCACTGTTGGAAGTAGGCTGTAAATACTAACGCAAAAAATGCTGCGAAAATAATGAGTGCTCGGATTAATTCAGGGATGACACGGGGAAGCGAAACTATGGTATTGATTTCCAATCGACGAGATTAAAGTGCGCGGATGGTTTTAACGATTTTTATTTATAATTTCCGTGAAACTTTTACTTGTTTTGTATTTTTATATAAACAAAGATGAAATGACATAAAATTAAAGATGGCGGTCAACGTCACACAATGTTTTTTTGTTTTGTTAAATTAAGTTTATTCACTTTGTAAAATATCTAACTTTTAAAGTGTAATTTCGACGACTACAATTCAACAAGAAGATGATGTCTCTTTTCAACCTTTGTTCACTTTATTTAATTAACTTATTTACATTGTCTCGTAATATATAAAAATAAAAAATTAACTAAAGTGACATTAGTTTACAAAATAAAAATCAATAAACAAAAGGGTCAACTAAGAAGATACAATTCGAGGAAAACTAACGAACAGAAACATACTGAAACTTAAGTGTTAATAAATGAGAGAAAAAATGTCTTCAATTGTTCATTTTCACTAGAAAAAAGTAAAAGTCGCTGTTGTTCTATTCTAACCCAAGGATTTTGATTTCATTGTTCTGGTTTTGTTTCGATCTACAATGAAATGTTAAGAAAACTTCGGAAAAACTCATTGTTCAATTATGGTTTTTTTTTCACTTTTGGGACACGCTCACTAATGTATTGTTTTGACTTTTTTTTTTGTTTGTTTTGGTTTTGGTAATAATTCGAATTTGCTCTCAAGTAAAACGAGAAAAGGAAAATCAACTCATTTTATCATTTGATTAGTTGTTGAAAACCAGACATTTGCTATTATTTCTCACGATTCTTTTTTTTTTGGTATTCAGCTTTAATACTTCTTAGTAGAAGAAATCGATGTAGGTTTCCTTCCTAGTTTTAATAAATAACGATATTTTTTTGTTTTTTTGTTTGTTTGTTTTATTGTTTCGACTTTTTTTTTAATAATTTATTGTTGCATTATTACGTTGAATCTCGTAAGAAACACGATAGTCATGTAGTAGCAGCTGTTAAATGCTACTAGAGTTTAGTTCCAGGACTTAATAGTTTCGCCTATACAGGGTGCAGAACGGGAAAGAAAGAAAAAAAATACAGATCATTAAGTTCATTGTGTACTCCGTTGGTTCTCGTTTGAGTCTGGTAAAGTAAACCGAAGCGTCTTAATCACTATAACGTAACAAACAGTAACAATCAAAGGTGGTCGTGTGGGTTCAAAAGACGAAAAAGCGGGGATTTTTTTTTTCGATTGGAAGTGTTTGAATCGTTCCAAGCCACGGCCGTCGCAGTCGTTTCGTCAAATTTTGGAAGGCACATGGGGTGGCTTGAACGGACTTGAGGAATCGAAGCAGTTAGAATTGAGTAATCGGGATTTTTTGCAGAATAAAACGTCAGAAAAGCATTGTGTTAAAATAAAAACTGAAAGTAGGGTCGTCTGTGTGTTCTTTTTTTTCAACTAATTGTCTATGAAATAAGTTAAAATAAATAACTTTACTTGTTTCCGTAGATTGTTGATCGACTGCTTAGAATTATATCACTCTTTAAAAAAAAAAAACAATCTAATATAATTCTAAAATGTCGCTGTAGGATGGCATACAGACTGTAGGGTTGGATGGCTTTGGAAAAGTAAGCAGTAAGGATGACGTAAGGTTGCTGTCGATGTGTTGATAAGTTGATTCTCCACTATCGGTGGCGTTTTTTAATCGGAAGATTCTTCCGGTTGATGATATGGTTTCGTAATGGACAGGTTGACAACCACAGTTGACAGTAGTAGCAACAAGAACAACATCACAAACACAGGACGAGGTTGATGAAGTATGCGGTAACATAGATAAAAGGAAGGGCTTTGGCTATATCCGAGGATGGTTAGATGTTGGCTTCCGGACAGACTGCGTTGATCTATTTCCATGCTTCCAGGTGAGCATTCGTTGAGCGGAAACAGACACGATCTGTCCGATCATCGCGATAGCCGAGGAGGACTGCCGTATGTCTGGACCCCGCGCTTCGATGGCCGGTTCCTAGTCCTTCTTATGCTTTCGATTCTTCCTGCTGTTGGTATCTAGTGCCGCGGGGGAGTACGACACAGGAAATGGGTAGCCAGGGTACGGGGGCATAGGGATGTTTTTTTTTGTGAAGCATGTATCAAAGACGTTGTTGCTGGCTTTGGCACGGCGGGGTTCGTGATGGTGGTTTTATTTGGCTCTGGAGGGTATTTGGGTGTGATGATTAACAGTTGAACTGATGAAACAATAAGAAGCTTGTGGATTGTTTGATGACTTAATGGAAATCAGGGTTGGCTGTGTAGGGGAAGAAAGAGAATAAAGGAAATTTTCAATTAACATTTTCGTTGGTTTGCAACGAGATTTTCTAGATCCACTACTTGGTGCGGTTTCCGGAACTGGTATCAGGGTTGGAGATGGTCGATGCTTTCGTTAAATTAGAGATAAATTTTCATTGCGAGGTTAATACCATTTTTTCATTCGGATATTGTACACGACCGATGAGACTAACTAAGAAAGTTGAATGAGACATTTCTAACAACGGGGGGCTACTCAGTGCTAGTTTTAATAAATTTATCTTTCTGCTGAGTAAAAATTTCTATCTCTATCTGAGTTAGTCTCTTACTACTGACCAAGTTTACACCCATTGTCGATTTCTCGCAAATAACTCAATCAGGCAAACCAATATTACCAATAACACCTAGCGCAAATAGCTTTGGGAGAAGCATGTCGCCAGGCTTGCAATTGCTCATTACAGCTAAAATGCTATTTTTCAGAATTACAAAACTATGAGATACTATTATGATAATTTTTATTTGTAGGAAGCAAGAATGGGTGGTAAAGTTTGTGTATGGCATAGACAATTTGTCAACTTTGCTTTCAGAAGGTCACAACTATCGATTTTAGATCGCTGATTGCTCGCTCATCGTTACAGCTAAATGCTATTGTGACCCTCTGAAAGCTAAATTGACAGATTTTATGTATCATACAAACACTTTACCTTCTCTTCTGGCATCTTGTAAATTAAAAAAATAAAAATAAAATATTTCACAGCTTCATAAATCCGAAAAATAGCATTTTAGCAGTAATGAGCATTTGCAAGCTTGCATGTCGCCATACTTTTTAGAACCTGAGCAAAGATTTCGTAGCAGGGAAAAGCGCTCATAATCGTGTGCTGGCAAGTTGAAATCAACCCGACAGCACCTTCGGCGGCACGTTTATGAGCAATATTTCCTGCTGGGAAGGTGTTTTAGGATGATCACAAGCCACCGCTCGGCTATGTTTGTGGTGGTAAGCGAGCTGTCAGCAATCTCTATAGATTTGTCATTGGCTTCTCTGACCGTTAATTTGCGTTATTAAATGGCCGTTGAAAAATAAGTCTGTGGATTCTGGTGGCTAAGCTTAAACCAATCCCATAGAGAAAAACAAAACAAACTAATGGAATCCCTAATAAACAAATACCATAAATGAACGGTAGCCGGCATGGTAGAACTATCTCACAAGTGGTTTGGATGGTACCCCGAACACGTCGTTAAGCTCTTATGGTTATTTTTGTTAGGGATTCTGTTGTAAACCGTATTGAAACATATTTCAAGCTGAACATTGCATTAGGTCCTAAGTAACATTGATCAATTCTCTTCGTCGACTTTTACTTTGGCACAGAACCGTTTCTTGATGTGTTTGCCGTATTAGATGCTAGATAAAAGCTTCTTTTATCGATCTGTGTGCTAAAAATACCTGGGAATGTCTTCACATGGCCGTGGGGATGCAATGACGAAGATAATCTGTCAATGTTGCTTATGACCTACCTAATGCAATGTTCAGTTTGATTTTACAGAAAACGAAAATTCCAACGTTTCCAGCATCAACACTTTTGCGATTCACTGTATTTAATGATGCACAGTGATAGTTTCATTACTCGCCACTAGAGTGACATAGTTGACGGAAAAGAGAATTTGATGATCCAACCGATCCAACTCGTTGCTCTGGTGCTGAATGATGGAACCTTCAAATCAAAGGTCACGGTCGATCAGACCAACTCAAAATTGACGACTCAATTTCGTCAAAAGTGAGCTGCATTTTCCGAGAAAAAAAGCCGTGGAAAACCAGGAAAGACTTCTGGAATATGAGGAAAATCCATTAAACATGTACTCAGTCTTCTTCTTCTTCGCATTTCAAGCTGCTCTCAAGATGTATTTCCACAGTTATTAATTGGGGGCTTTGGATACCTGTACCATTTTTGCATTAGTAAAATTGTGTGGCAAGTACAATACAATCATACTTTTATGTCCAGGGAAGTCGAGAAATTTTCCAACCCGGAAAATTCCTAGACCGGACCGGGAATCGAACCCAGCCACCTCCTCCAGCATGGTCTTATTTCGTACACGGCGAATGAGAACAACTCAAATTTGAGTTTAGTTCACTCATAATCGCCAAAAGTGCAGGAACTCAGCTATGAGTAAAATTTGTCCCATGGTTTTCTGTGGAAAACCTAAAAAATTTGCCGGAAAATGGGGAAATTGATGAAAATTTTATTCAGTATCGGAGTAGTACCAATAGACTGAGTGAATCCAATCTTTACTTTTCTCAAATTCGGGATTTTTTTCCCTGGAAAATCCTGGGAAAACATGAGGCAAATTAACTCATCGCTGAGTTCCTGCACTTTTGGCGATTATGAGTGAACTAAACTCAAATTTGGGTCGTTCTCATTCGCAGTGTAGCTGCGCCTTTACCGATCGGCGATAAAATTTGTCTCATGTTTTCTCAGGTTTTTCTAAGATTTTCCAGGGAAAAAATCCCGAATTTGAAAAAAGTAAAGATTGGATTCACTCAGTCTATTGGTACTACTCCGAGACTGAATAAAATTTTCGTCAATTTCATCATTTTCCGTCAGATTTTTTAGGTTTTCCACAGGAAACCATGAGACAAATTGACTCATCACTGAATTCCTTCACTTTTGGCGATTATGAGTGAACTAAACTCAAATTTGGGTCGTTCTCATTCGCCGTGTAGAGAATCTCGGCAAATTCAACTCACTTTTTTAGGTACACGGCGAATGAGAACGACCCAAATTTGAGTTTAGTTTTAGTTTGATAAAATGCAGGAACTCAGAACTCAGCGATGAGTAAATATGTCTCATGATTTCCAGGTTTGTCCAGGATGAAATTCCCGAATATGAGAAAAGTAAAGATTGGATTCACTCAGTCTATTGATACTACTTCTAGACTGAGTAAAATTTTCGTCAATTTTCAGAAGATTGTTTTGCTCATCGCTACGTTCCTGCAGTTTCTGGTTATGAGTAAACTAAACTATAGGCCACATTATGTACGACGATCGTAACGACTTTTTCATACAAGCAGTTCATACGAAATTCGCTTCCGTTCAAATTTCATACTTAGTTTAGGACATTGGAATTAATCGATAAACACTCGGCTTTACTATTTGTACCTTACCAACACCCATGATACCAGTCCAGCAGCTTACATTCACACGTTGCACTACTTGCAGCTACAATATGCTATACTAATAGAGCATTTCCGGAAAACATCTATTCTAAAGTGAAGTGCCCGTTGTTAAAATTTGTGCTTGTCTCGAACAATTATAATTTACACAGTTATTAATCACTGTTGCACTATTGCGACAATTACTAGCATCCTTCCGGATGGAATGGTGCATATCCTACAGACATCGAACATGGAATGGGTACTTACTGCGAATGAAAGAGGATTCATCGCAAGGAATGTGTGATGAGAAGTACAAGGAGCATGACAAAGTAGAGGTGGATTTATGCGCGGGAATGATGAAATAGATGACTCACACTTCGACTGGTCGGTTTCTTGCTAAAAAAAGGTATCTGCGCAATCCATCATGCACAGGCTAAAAAGGCCAAAAGCGTTCACTCTCGATCAATCACTTGTTCACAACACACTTGCTGGTAGAAATGAGAATCTTCGTCTTTTGTATGTCTTCTGCGAAGAAGATCCGTAGGCACGATCTCGGTTAGAAAGGTGGCGATGGCAATGATGAAAAGTGTTCAGCGAATCTTGTGGAAGTGTATTCAGAAAACTACGAACTCGAGCGGTACTCGCGTGAAGTTCGACGCTCTATTAGTTAAGCGGCCGGGAGATCGCTCGGATGGGCTTTTTTCCACGTTGCAAATCTCTCGACGACTTTCCCTTCCCTTAACCCAACAGTTGACAGTGTTGACTTTTTGTGCGGCTAGAGAAGAGAAAGAAGCACGAATTTAGTTATGAGGGTTAGTAAAAAAAATAGTAAACACACTCGCCTAATGTTTTTTTTTTGTTAATGTTTTAAATATATTTAAAATGCATTTTTTCTAGGTTTTCAGTTTTTCATGTCTTCATTAATGACCTCTCTCGCCAAGAAGACTTCCATTAGTCAGTTTTCTTTGTTCCTTCACTACAGTAATGATAATCATATTTGCTTGCTGCTTTTCCCTTTTTGTTTTTTTTTTCATTAAATAGTTGGAGTAAAAAACTATTGTTGAACAAAATTCACACAGTCATATCTCGATTTTCATTATTATTTTTTTTTTTTCCTTAATAATGTTTCATACAACCGGCTCGCAAAAATGAAGTGCGTTCGGTTTATCTTTGTTGTACTATACTACTTTTTAGAGCTTGTTTGCTTTCGTCAACAAATACCGGGGAATAATAATAACAACTATTTTACTCATTTGATCCTCTCTCTACAAGTTTACTAATATTCATAGGCTGTTTACTGATTTCCCACAATCTTGGATGTGTGTGTGTGTGTGTTTATGATTACTGTTAGGTATTTTTCTTCAACTTGAATTAACACCGCTCTTGTTCAACTTCTGCTGCTGTATAAAGTTGTGTGTATGGGTCTGTGTCATATATTGATTTCAGATTTCGAAGTAACCTAATTTAAACTCAGTGTTTCGTTCCCTACTTAAGTTTCATCAAATCACGAAAAAAAAGAGCAATGAAATAATAAAAACAAAATTTCATCAATGTATACATTTATTATCTAATTACGCTAACTTGATTTTCTTGCTGTTTTCCCTTCAATTCATATTACGCTCACCGTTATCTGTTCCGTGTCGTGTGCATGGAAAGTTCACACACACACAGAGCTGCTAATGTTGTTTCTGGTTTTCCATTCTGTTCTGTATCATTATTTTTGGTAGACATTTAGAGCCGTCAAAACGGTCGAGAAAAAAAATCAAGCAAAGAGACACGCCACATTCAAAAAGTATTCTGTCCTCCAGATAACAATTCAACAACAATGCAAGCAAATTTGCTCGCAAAAAAATATTTAAAAAGCATCCCCTCATTTCAGTTGCTGTGCTCAAGATTGTTCAACAAACAACAACAACAACAATAACTACGACAAATCGACTAACGCTTGGATGGAATTCAATGCTGCAATTCTACTACCGTTACTGAGGCACACACACACACAAAATGTCTATCAGTTGTGCTTCTGTATCTGGCAATTTTCTATTGGTTTTCACACAAATAAAATCAATTGCAGGTGGGGTACCGCTGTAAGTAAACGGGTAATTTTAGGAATTCCGACTACGTTTTTTTAAATTAAGTACACATTCTTCATCGTAATCTGGCCAAACAGAAGTTGCACCATCAGCGTGTGAGGGGATAAGCATGAGAAGATAAATTTCGAAAAATATAACGACTACCCATTACAGGTGGAATAATAAAGGCAGCGCCGTTTCTAGCTATGTCCATCCTTCGTCTCTGATTCAGAATTGGAGAGTATGAGAAAACCACTCGCCTAGAATTTGCTTCGTATGATAGATTATACTGTTTGTGTTTTTGTTTTACAGATGCTACATCTTTTCGTATTAGAGTTTAGTAAGATAGAAAATCTGAGAAGAAAAATGTGCGATTTACGTCTAGTGCTGATCAGCTCTCTTTCTATTTCTCACGGGTTGTACATTGAATACAGTGTTGTAAAGGTGTAATAAGACCGAGTAAAAAGGGCAGGGTACAATAATTTAAGTCTTCGTATTTTTGTTGGTTGGTTGGTTGGTTGGTTTGGTTTTACTTTTGAGCGTACGCCGTCGTGTTCGTATTTAATTCTAACTCACAGCATACGCCCAAAGATCTGACAAATGAGAGAACGAATATAGGAACGATCAATGCTAGTTTCCCTGTGTTTCAAAATACTTTTCATGTTCCGACGACAGCTGCAAACATTATTTGGTGATTTGTTTTCCTTTGTTCTTGTGGAAGAGTTGTTCATTTTTTGTTTTGTTTCATCATCATCATGCTCTAAATTTACACAACAAACGAAGCGAGCTCAAAAGTGTATCAGGCAAGCAAAGTTTAGGTTATGTTACTGCGAATTAGTACGTGTGTATCGTGTGTATTTCGAAACGAAAGAGAATTCTGCACGATCTTTGCGATAACTTGAGTCTACCATAAGCACTTTTTAAAGAGTGGCTTAGTGTTCAAAATTCGATGAACAGATAATTATATTAGTCATTAATTCATGTCAGAAACAAAACGTTCGCTTTGCGTACTTGATGCTTGTTGGATGTAAGGTTAGTTTAAATAAGTTATCTTCCGTTTTCTGCTTAGCTTTCGATCTAATGATAGGATATAGGAAGATCTATAATAAAAGGGTTGTCGCAGTTTAGGATAGGTTAAGGTGCTACATGATTATGAGGGAAAGTTACAAACGAAAAGTAAAGATCACTCAAACGCATTCCACTCGCGCATATTAAGGTAGAACTCATTCACTATCACTGTCATTAGGTAGTACTTAATTTTGTGTTCGTTTTTTTTTTTGTTGGTTTCGTGGGGAGGGTTAAACAGAGGTTTATAGGATTCGTGTTTGTTTTTGTTGCACATATGAGTTGGTGAAAGCGGATGTTTGTGTGGTTTAATTTGGTTTGGAAAGACTTTCTTCAAGTCGTTTGCTTTTGCTTTCCTGTAGTTTGTTTTGTGTGTATTGGTGTATAATATATTATTAATAGTATTGCATTACAATTTACAATTTTTGTATCTTTTTTTTTTGGATGAAATGTATATAAATATATACGATTGTATAGCAACGTTGTATAATGATTTGCGGTTAACATGCTGATCTTATCCTTCATAATGTGTAGAAATAGAGGTTAATCGCAAAAGGTGTTTTTGTTTCAGGAAAACACTTCGCTATGGGGTCCATTGCTTGGTTTGAGATTTAAAAACAGAAACGAATCCTATGCACAACACGCGCCTACCGTTCTGAGGGAAAAATTGTAATACACAAACGTAGGGAAAGATTTTTTTTTTTAGGTAAACAACTAAAAATTACAGGGGAAGTCTTATGAGAGTAGGACGACAGTAATTAAAAAAAATAAACATTCAACAATCATTTGCAATCACGGATCACTTAAGAATTATCATCAGCTTCTAGGTTCAGTTTTGCTAAAATCACTCGTATCGTCTCGATCACGCGCACGCCTCTCGCGAATTAGACTTATTTTGGAGCGAATCGCTCCGCGCTTATCTCTCGGGCCGTCAAGCTTACAAATGTGACTTTTCTACATCGATTCCAGGTGAAAAGCAGAACAAACTCAAACGCAAATTGCAAAACCGTCCTTCATTGGAACCGAACACGGAGAGAAAAGCCACAGTTGAAACGATCGCCCGAGAGTGACTTTTTAGTTCCTAAAGATTCCCCTTCACTATCAACTTGTTTTACTAGACGCGAAATTAAACTCTTACTTGTAGCATTTTTTTTAAACCGCCTAATTGCGTTCGGTTGTTCTGTTTTTGTTTTTTTTGTTTAGTATGGACCCCATATGATGTAAGCAAAGAACACGGCCCACGCTAACACTAGCCAATGCATAGTTTTGATATAGCTCTCACCGTCGGAGATCCTTCTGGCGACGAACTTCAGGATTTCATCTAGCAGTACAACTGGCAGCGAGAACTTCATCACAGTCAACCATTCGTCTCCATTCAGTGGGGTGACCTGGAACACGGTCTGTTTGAGGGAGAAAAGTAAGATATAGGCATTATTTCTCCATACAGCAGAAACGGCTTCTGGAATCAATCGCTGTTGACTAACTCAAACTGTCGGCGAATTGCTCCGCATCCGATCCGATTTGGTCAGAATCACTTTACCACACCGGTACCAAAAATTGCAACTCAATACTTACGGAAAGCACCTCGACGTGCAGGATGACGAAGTGGAGACCGAACGACAGAGCCATGGATCCGATGAGCCACAAGTTCGACCATGGGGGCATGGTGATCAGAGACTGGTTCTCAGACAAGCTGTGGACAAGAGACAGAGAGAGAGAGAAATGGTTACATATTCCCTAAAGCGATCGAAATTCCTCGCAAATCAACGCACCTGTTCATGGCGTTCAACATCTCAATGGTGACCAGGACGGACAGAGCCATGGTCATTGGGTGAGGGTCGCTGAAGACCTTGCAGTCAACTCCCTTGAACTCATCACCACCGGCAATGCAGGACAGATGGTGGGTCAAATGCCAGTAGGTGAGCTGTGGACCGTTCTCGGAGAACATGAACCACCAGGCAGCACCACCGACGGTAGCGGCACCGACATAACCACCAATAGCCATGTAACTGTTTTGTTTGGAAGAGAACAAAAAAATATTAAGCCTCCCGAATTCGCAAGCCGTATGTCGTCGTAATTGAAGCTTACCGGAAGAAGAGCCAGCCGGAGATCAAACCTTCATTGGCCTTGCGTGGTGGCTTGTCCATGATGTCAAGATCTGGCGGGTTGAAGCCGAGAGCGGTAGCTGGCAGACCATCAGTAACCTATGCCGAAAACGAAAGAAAGTTCAGTTATCTTTCCTACGACGAGAGAAAGTCTACCGCAAACTTACCAAGTTGACCCACAGCAGCTGGACTGGGATCAGAGCCTCTGGCAGACCAAGGGCAGCAGTCAAGAAGATGGACACGACCTCACCAATGTTGGAGGAAATCAGATAACGGATGAACTGCTTCATGTTGTTGTAGATAGCACGACCTTCCTCAACGGCGGCAACAATGGAGGAGAAGTTATCATCAGCCAACACCATTTCGGAGGCAGACTTGGCGACAGCGGTACCAGAACCCATAGCAATACCAATTTCGGCCTTCTTCAGAGCAGGGGCGTCATTGACACCATCACCAGTCATAGCGGAGATTTCGTTCATGCTTTGCAGATACTCGACGATCTTGGACTTGTGAGCAGGTTCGACACGCGAGAACAGACGAGCACGAGCGCAAGCTTCACGCTGTTCGCTGACTGACAGATCATCAAATTCACGTCCGGAGTAGGACTTGCCGGTGGTATCTTCTTCCTCAGTGAACACACCAATACGACGGCAGATAGCCTCAGCGGTAGCCTTGTTGTCACCGGTGATGACAATAACGCGGATACCGGCAGCACGGCAGCGGACAATCGAATCGAAGACTTCCTTACGTGGGGGATCAAGCATACCAACAACACCGATAAAGGTTAGGTTGACTTCATAAGTGTAGAACTTGTTCGAATCGTTAAGATCCATATCTTCTGGCTTCATTGGGCTATCGGCAGTGGCCAGGGCCAAACAACGGAGGGTATCGCGACCGGTACCGTACTGGCGAGTCAGTTCCAGGATGCGGTTCTTCAGAGTCGAAGTCAGTGGGACCTTGGTGGTTCCGACACGGGCATGTGTACAACGATCCAGGAGACCTTCAGGGGCACCCTTGCAGAACAGTTTTGGTCCGTTTCCGAGGCGGGAAGCCTTCAGTGGGGTACAGTAGCTGGACATGGATTTACGATCGCGGGAGAATTCCAGAGTGAATTCCTTCTTCCACTTGGTTTCAATTTCCTGACGGACGCAGATAGCTGCCGAACGGCGATCCAGACCCTGCTTGGTAACGTTGAAGGGATTCATCTTCTCAGCGAGGACAATCAGAGCGGTTTCGGTGGCTTCACCGACCTTTTCAAAGACCTTCTTGACTTCGTTGAAATCAATAGCGGAGTCATTGCACATGATGCAAATGGTGCCCAGTTCCTGCAGAATATCGTAGTCGGAAGTCTTGACCCTCTGACCCTTCATGGTAACTTCACCAATTGGTTCGTAGGTGGAGCCGGAGATTTCGAATTCAGTGAAGCTGCTGTCGTTGCCTTCAACCTTGTCGAAGACGAACATACGCGAGACGGACATCTGGTTGGTGGTCAGCGTACCAGTCTTATCAGAGCAGATAACCGAGGTGCAACCCAGGGTTTCGACGGATGGCAGGGAGCGGACAATAGCGTTCTTCTTGGCCATACGGCGGGTACCCAGAGCCAGACAAGTGGTGATGACAGCGGGCAGACCTTCAGGGATGGCAGCAACAGCCAGAGCGACGGCAATCTTGAAATAGTAGACGGCACCCTTGATCCACGAGCCACCGTGAGCTGGATCGTTAAAGTGACCGATGTTGATGGCCCAGACGGCAATACAGATCAGGGAGATAACCTTGGACAGCTGCTCACCGAACTCATCCAGCTTCTGCTGCAGGGGGGTCTTGATTTCCTCAGTTTCCGACATCTCGGTACGGATCTTACCGATGGCGGTGTTCAAACCGGTTCCGATGACAACACCACGAGCCTTACCGGCGGCAACGTTGGTACCGGAGAACAGAATGTTCTTCTTGTCCTGGTTGACGGCACGGGGATCCGGAATGGCATCGGTGTGCTTGATCACGGACACGGACTCACCGGTCAGGATGGACTGATCGATACGGATGGTGGTGGAGAAGATCTTGATCAGACGGATATCGGCGGGGATCTTGTCACCGACGGACACCTCAACGATGTCACCGGGCACGATCTCCTTGGCGCGCAGCTTCTGCACACCGGACTTGTCGCCACGGACGACCTTGCCCATCTCGGGTTCGTACTCCTTCAGGGCTTCAATGGCGGATTCGGCATTACGTTCCTGTGTGTGTTGTGTGGAAAGGAACGGGGGGTTAGTGTTTTGATCGGCCGGATTTTTTTTTTGTATGATAATGGAGGTTGAATCGATATTTCTCGTTCCATAGTTTCACATTCAGTCGGTATTGAGTTCAGTATGATTCGGTTTGTGACTAAATTACAGTCAACTTTCCTTTATCCGATCTTTCCTTAATTCGATGGAAACCCGGGCTACTTCAGGGGGAGGGGATCCAAAGGTGGTGCTTCACCAAACGTAAACAAACATTTAACATTTGCTTGCCACAGGTAATGGCAGAAAAAAAAAATGGAAATCAAGATGGAGGCCATTTATGATAATTTCCAAACACGCGATAAAAACACGAGCATAGTTTGAACGAAATTTTACGAACACTGAAACGATTCGGTTTCCAGTGCTGCTGCGAATAAACTGTTTGTTAGATTTTCCATCAGTTTGGATATCACGCATTTTAGATGGCTTTTCACGACAAATTGACATTAATATGAGATGATATTAATTACGGAAGGAAAGCTATCGATTTGCAAGGGAATCCATTTTGAATCCGGTATAGATTATCAGTCGGATATGTGTGCATCACTGTCAAGAAAATCGGTTGATGCAAACTTCAAGTGCAGTTAACCCTACTTTTCCGAACAAAAGTGCCTGAAATCCAGTCTGAATTTTCTCTGGTTTTACTCATTATTTGAGTCCTGTTTACTAAAAAAGTCACTCATTGAATGTGAGAATTATCATTTATTCTCCTCAAAATATGCTTCGAATATGAAGAAAATCAAAGACAATTTTGATCATTTTAAGAATATACTCGTAGACTAAGTAAAATTTTGCACGATTTTCGTTTTAATCCCGCAGATGGTTGTGGGAAATTGAAAGAAAATTGCTTCAGTCTAAGAATTTGAGTAAACGGAACTCCAATTTGAGTAGGATTCAATTTGGTGGCATGATTTTGATTGTTTTTCCAACTCAGTGCTGAGTGCCGCTGCAAAGAAGATATCAAAGCGGTTCTAGGTTAACTACTGTTAAGAAAATCAGTAGAATTCAGTTAAACACAAAACCACGGGGGCCGCTCATTCGAAACCCTCTTCATAAAGGGTCGAACCAGTCAATGGCTGAAAGCCTGTATAGTAGAGAAAAACTACAAGGGAAAGCCCTATATGGTTGTACGCAATGGTGACGTAGGACTACGTGGTCTTATATAACAAATCTTATTTGTTAACTGCAGCAAAAGCTTGAAGAAATAGGAATTTAAGCGGGGTTCTCTCTGCGTATACTCTTGAGTATGACGCGCTTGACATAGATGACCCACAGCGACTCACGAAGAGCTACTGATTCCGATCAATAGTGGTGCGGCTTCTTCTTCCTTCTATGGATGCCCATGTGGGTTGTAGCTCGTTGCATGCGGAGAGCTTTTCGTTGTGTACTGGAGAACACCACCACTCACCACGCGGTGATTGAATAAACACCGTTTGGTGAGATCGGATGGAATTCAACTTTGAAATCTGTGTTAGGGAAATCGCTTTTCGCAGGAAATCGGTGATAATTTTAATTATCATAGCAACAATTGCACATTCGTGCAATTTTCAATAGTGACATTTTTAAAAATGATAAAGTCTTGAATTTATCCGATGCGTAGAAATATTTCTGACCGATTGGTGATAAAATTATTGAAATTGGTTCAGGGGCAGCTGAGTTATTAACGTTCGAAATCTTTCATATTTTTGTTACAAGTTCCATTTTTGGTTTTCACAAAGTGTACCTCCATATAGAAATCACAGACGTAGTCCTGTGTCAAAAAAAAATCGACTGATCCAATTTGTATGCAATGGACCAGAATTTATATTTATGAACTTTTCAGACATTTCGATCCCAATCAAATGTCGACTCATTTTGATGAATACAATTCCCTAAGTTTTCCAGTTTTTCCAGGACATTAACGATACATTTTCAGGTATTTATCGGAACCTCAATTGGGTTCGCTGTATTACCTACGAACTCCCCCAATGAATATGCTCCTGAAATAAACCCTCATCAGTGTTCACTAAATATTTCCCTAAATTGTCCATTGAATTACCTGAGAAATTAACTCTAAATTTCTCAGATGTCCCGTAAGTTCCCTAGATACTCTTCTTGAGGTTCTCTAAAAATGATAATCGGAAATGCATTGAAACTCTCCTAAGTATTGCTTTGAAATTTACCTCAGTTACCGTTGGAAATTTGCTCAGAATTACTTTGGAATCAACAGGATTTTTTTTGAATTCGTGTTGGAATTCTCTACTGACAAGTACCTTTGGAATTAGCTTGGATTGCTCCTCAGAATTCTGTTGGAAATTCACTTTGAATCCTACTCAAAATTCCCTAGGAATTCTACTCAAAACTACCCTAACGTATTACCTGGGATTATGAGTTTAACAGAACTAACTTGAAATGAATCTTCTGATTGCACTTCAAGTATGCCTAACAATTCTCTTAAGAATTCCTTTGAAATTGTCTCCATCACATCACATCTATCACATCAAATTTATTCAGTAAAGTACATAAGCTGTAAAAGTTTGGCAAGGACCTTATTTTTTTTTATTTGGTTTCTTGGAAAATTAGTGATCATCCGACGTCTTGAAAATTATTTAATTAACTTTTTGAAAATTTGCCCAAGACTGTTATTTCGCCCAGGGATTAAAAAATGTGTCAAAGTTCAAAATCTGTAGACATTACCCATGTTTCAGAAAGCATTCAAAAACAATTCAAGTTTCAGAATGTATGCTGTAACTGATGATAAATCCATTTCTAAATTTATATCTTCAATGAGCAAAAGTGAATTACGAAGAATATAAAGTTGGTTTTAATTTAAAATGTTTTGAAATTCTTGAGAAGGTTCCTCGGCGTACTTTAAAATATTGTTATCTAATTTTGAGGAATTATACTTGATGATGGATACAACAATTTCAAAATTCTCTGAGCAGTCCAGATTTTTCCAGGAAAAATAAAATTCCCTGAAGATTCCAGGTGCCATGTCGTATACACCCTGAATTACCTCATAGCTAGGATGGTTGAAGAATAATGATAAATGTCTTTAATTTCATGCTGAAGGCTTATCATAATCCATTAATTAATGATTAATTTACAAAAATTCAAAAGCAGTTTTATTGTTCAAAACCAAAATTACGTTCATGTTGATGTGTTCATTGCCTTCTACTTGCCTACCGGAATACAGTGAGCACATTTTCATTGACATAATATCATTTTAAATGAAAAATCTGCTTAATAACGTCCCGTTTCCCCTTAACGCCCTTCAATTGACTACCGTTTTTCCGAGCCGATTGAAAGCTTCTGAAATCGAGCACATTTTAAATGCTAATCGATTATTGGTTTCCAGATGAATTTTAATAAATACGAAATAAATACTGTAAAGAAAATCGACTGATGGAAGATTCAATGCAGTTTCAAATCTGACAGCTGAATGTTGGGTCAGACTGCAGTTTCAATTAGTAGATCAAAAACGGTTCATAAAACAAAGGAAGCCCAAATTTGTTGTTTCAACTAAGTTTAAATCACAAAGCTCATCTTCACATAGCCATGACCATTAGTGCCATGCTGCAAACATTCCAGCAACCCATTAGCTCCATTAGTTCGGCTGTTTCGACGACCGATCACTGTCAAACATTCCTCATTCCTTTTCCAAATCGTAGTAATTTGTTTATTCATTGCTTTATGATGGATGGTGACGTGGCCATGATCGTGTGCTGTATGCATTTTTCCTTACCTGCCACACGCCGACGCAGGCGTTGGCGATCAGAATGAGCAAAATGACCAGGGGTTCCACAAAGGCTTCAACACCTTCATGTTCTTCAAAAAGGGCGAGGACCTGAAAGATTAAAAAAATACATAGTTAAAAAATCAATTCGCCAAATCAGCGTACCGTGTCGTCCCGAGTCAGTTCGCATGTCAGAGTCCGTCCTACCACCAGCAGTTCTAATTCTAAGATCAAACAAACTTTGGCTAACCGCAACCAACAATAACGGTTTGACGTTGACGTGGAAAACCTTCGCAGAACATAAAAAAACGCCGCGTTGCGGTATTGGAGTAAGAAGGTGGGTGAGGTGGGTGACGTGGTAGGTGGCACAAGGTCGGCATATTCTTACCACCCCCCTTGGCAGACACGAATAAAGTCGCTACGGTGGCGGTGTGAACATGCCATTTATCATACTCGAACCAAGAATAGAAATGTTGTAATTTTCTATTTTTTTTTTTTCAAAACCCGAAAATTTGTGACAGAATCGCGCAAAATGTCCAACATCAACGGGGACTAGAGCTGACAGATTTGATGTCTGTTTTGTTTTTGCCTATGGCCGTTTGCTCCTACAGTAACTTGTGAGATCTCCCTCCCAGCCGGTGCCAGTCGTAAATTATACGCTCTTCAAGAAAAACCGTTTGACCGTACCGGGATTTAATTATCGATAACGCCTTCGGGTTATATGGTATTGTGCGTCATCCAGCGGCAGTGGCTAATGGGACTCTTGAGATTACTAAAATAGCTTCGCACTAACTCGTCGTAGAGTGTGAAGAGACCAACGTGCGAGAAGGTTTCTGCTATTGCTACAACAGCTCTGCGCCCGCAGTTGGGTGATTTTGAAGAGCGCGAAGTACATTTTCGTGTAGAACAATAAGTTGACTTTACTAATATCTCCACTTTTTCGGTGCTGTTATGCGAAGGTTGTCGTGGCCAACGGGCTGTGGTTCAGAATCAGAGTCAGTGGAAGCAACCTGGAGCCTGGTTCGAAGGCGGCCGAATTGGGTCAACGTCTGGGTCGATAAAGTTTAATACTTACAAAGGAAATGATAGCAGCCAGCAGCAGAATCTTAACCAACAGATCATCGAACTGTTCCAGAACTAATTGCCAGATTGTTTTTCCTGTGAGGGTGATTGGAATTGGAAAGAGATAATTAGTACTTTGTTACGATTTTCGAACGGATGAGCACGGCAAGTGACCTGTCAGAATCCACAGTTATCATCATCATCGTCGGTAGAGGTGGACAATCCGAAACAGAAACATCGCATACTGATTCGATGTTTATGTTCCCTTCTGAATATCATAAATACTTCACATTGTAGAATGCTTATACCCTATTAAACAAAACATCGCTTACTGTTCGATGATTCCTGTAGACAACACGATTGACAGCACTTATGTTGTGTGTGATTGCATTTTTTTTTATCTCTCCCTCTCTCTCTTCTGTTGATCAGCGGTACTAACCATCCACCTTGTAGGTACAACTCCACAACAACCACGTCCACAACGGAAAATGTGGTTTCCTTTCTTCCTGTTTCTCGCTTCCCAACTAAGTCCAATCTATTTTGATTGATTGCACTCCGTGCTCCGTGGTTCCAGAAAACAGGTCACATACCTACATAGATTGGTGCACACCATGGTCGCCGTGTGCCAGATTCCGCTGCATGCGCTCTTGCAGCAACAAGGTGCAACAGAACACGGGAAACAATCGGTAACATGTGCGCTAGCTCCGGCAAAATTTAAATTACACGGCTCACCACCGACCGGTGGTCGTTGGAAGATGAAACGAACTTGGGCTGGGTCATGTCTTTTCCGCGGAGCGGAGACACAAAGCGCCACACCACCACCCGTACGGTTACGGCAGTAAACATTGCGCATTGATTTATACTTTGTTTACACGAGTGTGTGTGTTTGTGTTTGCAGGGCCAGTAGAATTTCTCGCGCCCGGTTTGCAAAAGAAAGCAAGATTCCGACTTGACAACGCGCGACCACGCTGCTGGAATATGGTGGTGCGCCGTTGACGAGCTCGAGTAAATAAAGTCATGGACGATTATATACCGATGTAAAAAAAAAAACCGTCTGTGTACCTTTTATATTTACCCGACACCCTTCTGCATTTATTATTATTATGTACCTGGCTGCAGTCCATCAGCAGCGACTGAGGAGCAGCCATAATCATCAAAGACGATGACGTCGAAGCTCTCGGAGTACAGTAGTTGCAATATAATCAGCGGTTGTTTTGGTTCAGTAAGGTTTCCTTTGTATTGGGGCAGGCCCTGCGACTAGTACTAATTACAAACAGGGGCGCACAGATGATTCGATCTGCTGCAGCTCAGTGTAGTTTGAGAAGTATCAGATGAGCTGGAAGACGACGTTTGTTTGTCGCTAATTGGCACTGCTCCGCTGATAAGCCGGAGAACTAGATGTGGGTATGTTGGTTTCAGGTAACTGGGTTTACACCATTATTCCGATCATGCCGACACGTTAACATCGATCGATGCCGATGTTTTAACTTGTGACCAAATACCATCGTACGAGTTGCTTGTGTATTTATTTTAAAACAAGCATTAACATAGGTGCAACTGCATATGACCGAATCGTACATTAGAACCAATCATGGGATTATTAACTTACAGTCGGTGCGGATGAAACATGCTGCTTGCGCGAGCTGATGAATATTTGCTGGTATTAAATTTACAACTGATAAATTAACATCTAGAACCAACGAGCATCTTGATGCATGAAAAGCAATTTCGTTGGAACCGATTTGATTTAAATCAAACGACGGTAAGATCCAACAAATATTCCTTCAAAGTTGTCTGAGAGAATCCGGAATGGATACCAAAATACAACACTTTCGCAAAAAGAAGCGTTAAATGCTGTGGTTTAACATTGTAGGGTGCCGCTGTAAAATAATATAATAAGTTTGTAGTATGCCATTTGTTTGACAGTGTCAGTGGTACTTTTCGCAAGAAAACATCCCGATAAGATCGAAGAAGAAAGCAAGAAGCGACAAGGATTGGTGCCGCTGTAAACAAATGTCAAATTTCAATAATATACATCCTTTTGTAACAACGTCGGTAGTTGTTTTCATGCGAAAAACACTTCGATGGCGATAGTATAAGAAGCGCCAAGGATTATGCTTTAACATTATTGGTGCCGCTGTAAATAAACATATTAAGTTTGTAATAAGCTATTTCTTGGCAATATTGATAGTAGTTTTCATACGACAAACGCCTCGATAGTTTTGAAAAACGTTCCATAACGAGTTTTCTAGATTTGTGGCGAACAAAAACTTCTTGTAGGGGATGGAGGGGCATCGTAAGCTTCCTGTGCTTTAGCCTTGGATTTGTTATGGTTCGAAACATTTTAATTGGTTAATAATCATTGCAATGGTGACATTGAACCTAGAACCAATTAATTTGTTTAATTTGTAATAATTAACCTGTAATTGGGTTTAGGATTCCCCGCTTACCCCAAATATCAAAATAATCCAAAGAGCATTAAAAAAAATACAATTCTCCCTTGAACACATTTTGAGACCCAGCACTGCAAGAAAGTTATTTCGGATAATACACTTAACCAAACGCTAATTTGTGGCTGGATTCCTCCGAAGGAAAATCGTAAAAATAGCGCTTTTACCTCCAAAATTATTTAATTTGATTTCATCTTAATTGCAATAATCGCAATACTTGAACTTCACTGAGTAGCTAGTTTTCCGTGCTAACCAGGTTTACAATGAAGACCTAGAATCCCCCAATTTTCATATTCTTGCATGTACTCAAAGGCGCTCAAAGGATTGATTTTTGTTGGACACAGCTGGATCGAACAGACGCACCAATCCACTCGAAGCTTAAATTTTGACCGGCACAATTAGGTGTAACATCTATTAAGAGACGTACATACCCATTTGGTGGTTAAATGGAAATGGATTTTTATCAACCCTCAGGATTTCAGTTCAACTCAGGAATGTGCCAACATCGCGTGGGAGCTGAATTAACATTAGGCCCAAGATCATCGAAATATCCTTTTATTTGAATGATTTTGATCAACTTGCAAAAATGCAACATCAAGCATTGAGCAACCACAAGTTCGCAACTCTATTTAACATTTTAAACGAATAACCATCCTCGAACTACACGGAGTAATTAAGTTGTTTGAAACAAGCGAAGTCAGTTATACTTTTTAAAGGGACTGAGAAATATTTCTCTAAATTTTAATGAACCCTGATTTTCCAGGTAGCCAACACCCTGTAACTGGAATAATTTAGAAAATTTATGAAATTGTAGGCTATTGCACATTTATTTAGATCGCAGACATAATTGTTGGTGTCTCATGCTAAGGGAAATTTAAGAATTCCGAGCTAGAACAAATATTCAAAATGTCGGGGTTCAGCCCAATAACCCAAATTTGAGTAAATCGCATATAGTAGTTTCCATTGAAAACCAGCAAAAAAAAACCTACTCTTAAGTATATTCTACCCAAAATTAAGTATAATTCACGTAAATTTGAGAATATGCAATTCACTCAAAACTAACTTATTGGGCTGAACTATATCGTTGGGTCGAATCTCTCGTTCCCTTTTTGACAACAATAAAGAGTGCAAGTGAGAGGCTGAACTCAATATGAAGTAAAAAAGAATTCAAATTATGGGTAGTATTTTTTCTCCGTGTAGTATCGAGTATCTCGCTGATGGCTGCGACCTGCGATCCAGAGAAGAAACCATTCGCTCCATTCTAAAATCACCGCGTTCTCGTGATTGTACAGAATAGTCAGGCTACAACAATTCATTGCTTAATTTATTTGCAGCGGCACCACGGGGATTTAATTAGCATAGGCGAATTAAAATAACATTAAAAAATGCATATTGAACAGGACTCATGGTGACTAGCAGATCCTGATTAGCAATAGTAGCTTTTCCCCCGGAATTTTTGAATTTTTTCCGGCTTTTCCACACATTTAAATTTAAGACAAAATCGAATGCGATTTAGCTATTGTAGTAAGAAATGACCTAATATAAAAAAATATAGATTTTAAACCAAGAAAAATATTGATATGTAAAAAAACTATTTTGGAAGATTAGTGCAATCAATTCAGAATTTAAAAGATACCACTAGGTGAAATGAGTCAATACTAAGAGAGCAGTATTTTTCCTGGATCTCGAATTTAGCTCTGCGTTCGAAGTCATCAAAATTTGTTTATGAAAATTCACTCAAAACTTTACAGCATTTGTTTTGATTGTTCTCAAGCATTTCAGAATTTTCAGAATTCTTCTAAAATAAATTTTAGATTCCCTTTGGGGGCTTGAAAATGATTCCGCAGAACACACAAAAAAATGCATGTAGTTCGTCCTTCGTTTCCCTTTGAAATGAAACTTTGTCTAAGAATTCACTGATTTTTTTTTAATTCGCATGAATTCCAGCTTGCAATTCACATCGGAATAATCTTAAAATTTTACTAAGAATTATTTTCTGAAAAAAAATAAGTTCTCCTCTAAAATCTTTTCTGAACATGCACTTTGAATTCTCGTTAAAATTATCCAGAAAATAATTTTGAGATGTTTTTTTTTTCTCTGAACTCACAATTGACTCGGAGTTATAGTCAAAACTCTCTTATTGCGGTATAATACCCCGTTCACATTACAGCGTATATCACTTGATATACGGTGTCTTGCAATGAGCACTCATACATCTAGTTTTCACTGGAAATCCTATGTATGAGTGCTCATTGCAAGACAGCCTATATTACGTGATATAGACTGTAATGTGAACGGGGTAGTAAGCTCCAATTTGGATTAACTTTCAATCCCGTCCCTATTTGAATGAGCTGCAAAATGTTTGCTCAGAGTCGTGTTGATTAAACCTGATGTCGACATCAAAGTAGTCGGACATTCTTGAACGGGATTTAATCCAAGGATAATACCGGCTGGAGCTTACCACCATTAGAGTTCATCCCAAAACTCCATAGGAAATTTTCTGTGATGTTAACGCGCATTATGGAGGGTCAAGTTTGGCCATTGTTCCCCACTGCTCTTCCGATATGTATTGAGGTCCCCCTAACAACGGCGCCAAATTTGAACGAATTTGGTTATGATCTGGTTTTGAGGGAGAATTTTAAAAATATTGGTAATACTATGAAGAGCAACTTTGTCGAAGACTGCAAGTCGATTAGATTAGATTAGAATCAGATCGATTCTGAGAAAAAGTTATTATTATATTAACACTCCGAACACGATGCCTCCGGTAAAATGTGTAACGGCAAATTGACAATATTTGAAAAATCATTGCTCAGCAATTTATGGATAGATTTTAAATCTATTGATATCCAATACATCTTTAAAGTATGTAGTTTCAAATGGAGCAAATAAATTTGAAATGCGTCAATAAATGGCTGAGCTGTTTTTTTTTTCAAACATTGCAAGTTTGCCGTTACACATTTACCGAAGGCATCGTGTTCGGAGTGTTAATTTAGACCTATTGCTCCGTGCATACCTACAGGCGTAAATATGAGTGGAACACTTGGTCTAAAGTGAAAGATTACTAACTTTTTGTATAAAGATCAAATCGATTTGGAGTCTTCGACAAAATTGTTTTGTATAGTCTTAGTCGAAGATTTGGTGAAATTTGATCAATATTTGAATCATAAAATTTTTTAAATTCTCCCTCAAATCGAGATTATAACCAAATTCATTCAAATTTTGCACTGTTGTTGCCACAAACGAAGTGACAGACGGAGCGGCTCGAAAACTTTGGTGACTAACTTGCTATTTCAATTTTTCATTGTACCACATGGCAACACCACTACTACTGGATTGTACCACATGGCAACACTACTACTGGATTGTACTAGCATTTTCACCAAATGTATTAGAATGTTTTGGTTCTATCTCTTTCACTCTACTCAAATACTCTCTTTGCACACTGTCAATGAATCATTGTACACAAAATCAACTTTGTTCAAATCAAAACAAAAAAACTAACCCATCTGGTGGATGATGGCACAAGCTTTTAAGAAAATTCTATTACACTCAAAGATAAATTAAATCAAAAAAGCTTAAAAAGTATGCAGATTCCCGCTTCACCTTATTGAGTCCGAGACATGATTACTTCGGCAGTAGTCATGCATGATTAAATTCGAAATAATCTTTCCAGTATTAAATATTATTCTTTTTCAATACTGATATATAAACAAAAACAGATTAAAATTCAATCAAAAATTATTAAAATAGAATCAAAAATTATTAAAATTTATTCAAATAAGATTATCTTCAATCTAATCAACCATGATTAAGCTGGGATTAATATCAAATGCTTAGTTTTTAGAAAGAGAGTATAAATTTTAAATCTTTCGAAATGATTTCTAATTGTTTTGGGAAATTTAAAAAATGCGCAGAATTAGGCCTCATTCTAAAATCACTACCTACTCTGGTCCAAGGATTTTAACATTTTCTCAAAGTCCAAAATCTTATATTTTCGAAGAGAGGACGAAGTATTTTTTTTCCCCGATTTGTCATCAAAATGTCCGGCTTTTTCCCGGTCCACTGGGCACCCTACAAACTTATGATATTCTGCAACATCACGTCGTACCACTGTAAACAAACAGCGTTCAAAAATACGTTGAATTCCATTCTCATTATCCACACTTCGTGATGTCCACCAAATGACGACGACGAGTACGACGAAGATGACGACCATGCCGAGATAACACTTGGATTCGTTGACAAGTCACTGACGGGCTCCGAAGGCCAACCGCTGTACCGAAAACAGCCCGTTACTTACCCTCTTCAGCTGGGAGTTCTGTAATGTAGATAAAGCAGGTAAAACAACATTAGTCACTGGTAAATAGTCTGAGGGAGCTGTTGCAACAACAGCGTCGCAGCAGCTTATATTTGTTACACCAACATTCCGGGTGTCGGATTTTCGCCTCCTATCTCACACAGCTCGCGGTGATACTGACCTAAATTTGCGTCATAATCTTCCAACTTTGGTGGTTTGCACAAGATAGAGAACTGGAGCATGAAATTGTCGCCGGAAAATCCCACCGTTAGACGCTACACCCAGACAGTGTTGCCAGAGAAAAAAAAACCCCGCCTCATCGGAAACAGCATTCCAACGAACCCAACAACTAATAACCTAATTTCCCGGAATCTACTACCGCCGCTGAATCATATGATTTGCGCTAAAAATACCGATAAAACGCTCTCCTCATAAGCATTCCCTCGGGGCGCAGTAATGAGCTTACATTCAGGCAGCGGCAGCAGCAATAGAGCGGTCTCTGACTGACGTTGAGTGTGGGATGAAATCTTCTTACGAAAACATACACATCACGCACAACGTGTGTAAGACCGATCTCGTGGCACTCGCTGAAAAGATTTTACTCCACGGTCCACAACAACCTGGCGAAAGGGATTCCTTCCTGGAACCAGACACACTACCAGGTTTAAAAATAAACACGTTACAATATTTAGATGATGATATCAAATTATTGTTGCTTTATGATCGAGCCATTGTTTAGAGAAGAAAATCATAGAATTCAAAGCTAGTAGACTGTGATAGAACGGAAGTGCGATCGACAAATTATCGCAAGAACCAGAGAGAAGGGCGATTTTTCCACGGTTGGTTTATTGCGGCATTCGCTGCGGCCAACAGCATATAGCAAAATCTGGAGAATTGAGGGGGAGGGGGCGGTTCTTATGTGAAGTGCGGTTTGTTGTAAATGCCTTTTAATTAACTCTTTCATGAGGCAATAAAATGGGATATCGAAAACTAGTTAATCACGATGGCACGTGGCCAAATGGAGGAAAATTGGCTGTGCTGAAAAACTGACAGCATAAATCGATGTCAAAGCCGTTCGCAACAAAGTCGTGGTTTATTGGGTGCGTGATCAATTTTTGAAAGAACGGAAATAATTTAATAACATTTGCTAAATAGTAAAACATCCCGCGAAATTCGATGATTTTCTACGCGAAATGAACGTTTTTCAAGAGTTTCTTTTTTTCTAAGGATGTTAGAATTCATAAGGAAGAAATTCTTAATCATTTGCACAAAAATAACCTGCTAAGCACAAACAGATTTTGTGGGTGTTATTTTCAGCTTTGCTAGACAATTGTGTTTAGAAACTGGTTTCTAGCAATAGACAAAGTGACGGGAGCAAAATGGCTAAATTTGTATAGTTTAATTTTGTTAAATCAAGCATAATCGTATCGAGGGCAAAATCTACACTGTCATGATACAGCAGGAACAAATATAACCAAAAGTTCTTCTCCATTAAACTGACAGCATATGTCGCATTTGCCACCAAAATGATAGTGGTACTGATTCTGGTGATCAGTGGTAGTGGTATTTAGACAAGAGTATATTTAGATTTTGGGTCACAAATCAAAAGCAAAGAAACTACAGAACTGACAGCAGGGAAGTTTATCATCATCATCACAGTTGGAACACGATATCCCATTACACTGGAGTCGCTTTTTACGCGGGTGATACGTCCCGCGTAAAAAAAAAACGCGTAAAAAAAAACCGCGTAAATTCCGGAATCCGCGTAAAAAAAAACCGCGTAAATTCCGAAATCCGCGTAAAAAAAACCGAGTAAAAAAAAAACCGTGGAAGAAAAAACCGCGTAAAAAGCGATATACCGCGTAAATTCTGAAATCCGCGTAAAAAAAAACCAAAATCCGCGTAAAAAAAAACCGCGTAAATTCCGGAATCCGCGTAAAAAAAAACCGCGTAAATTCCGAAATCCGCGTAAAAAAAAACCGCGTAAAAAAAACCGTGTAAAAAAAAACCGCGTAAAAAGCGACTCCAGTGTACATTTCTATGTTTCTTAAATCTCCCTTTCGATTAGATCATTCGTTTTGGAGATTATGAAACTGACAGCATTTTAGGCATCGTACGAAAATTGAGCAACAATCCGTTGAATGCAAAATGAGACAACCACAGCAGCTAAACAAAATGATAGCAACAACTGACAGCTTTTGAGTCACGTATAGGTCAACAATGTTGTTAACTATAATTGCAGCTCGAAAATTCCCTTTCGTGCCAGATCTTTTCCGACCCCAACCCTCTATCCCCCCGGGGGTAACGAGCAACACATTTGTCAATCTTAAAACCGCTTTTGCCCGCTGGCAAACCGTACATCCTCTCTCTCACCTTTGATGATATTGCACTCAGCAGTGACATCGAAAAGTGACAAGGCGCACCTTTAGCACACCTACCGGTTAGGAAAACGGATCCGTCGATTCGCCGAAAATAAATATTTACCATCGCCGAGCGAAGAAATGCGCGATGATAGAACGGTCCCAGGTCGAAATTCGAAATTCTACGGCGCACGGTTTTGTCCCCAAACCACAACCTCTCGCTCTTTCTCTCCCTTTCTCTTCGAGTTGTTCGACGACGCTAGGCTAGGTTAGGCTATTTCGGGCCCTTGGCTAGCTGGCAGGCAGGTTGCCAAAACCACAACAACACCCTCTGTTGAGCGCACGGAATGTAAACAAACCGCGAGGTAGTAGAACTGCGCGCAAAATCCAAAGATCACCAACAAGATCTTTGAGCTTTTGCGTCGTCCTCATCGTCGTCGTCTTCGGTGGCGGCGTCACCTTGTCGTTTGCATTGATGTTGTCAACATCGTCCTTCTCTGTGAGTTTAGAGAAATTTTCCGGTGGATATTTTATCGATCTCGCAGATCTGAGGTCGCCACCTTCGCATGTTGTTTTTTGGCTAAGAATTTACGGCCGCCAGCCAGATTTAGAGGAACAGGTGGATTTTGTGTTCACCCTATGTCATAGCGAACTGAAATCCTATGATGTTCTCCGATTTAACGGGCATCGGTGTGTATGAGAAGCGTGATGTGATCTATTTTCGTGTGTCAGTCATTCGTGAGTGGTAATCGATTGAGCAAATTTTCGCCAAGTGTTGCGTTTTTCGCACTACGTACCCGGGGGTATCGCGTATGTAAACAACCCCTGGGGCTCTGCTGGAACAATTTGCATAAGTGTGAGAGTTCCAGAGCACAGTTCCTTCGATCAAGGGGGCGATGTTTGTTTAGGTTTCACTCGATTATCGGAATCGAATCTGCCTTGTATATAGCGAGATCATTCCCTGTATGGAGCGCCGCCACCGCCGTCCGACGGAACAAAGGAAAAACTGAATTAACGTCATCACTCTTGTTTACAGCCGGCCAGTGAGAAGAAGTACCCGTGCGTACAAGTTTTTCCATTTCTAGACGCAACTACAACACGATCATCTGCTGGAAGAACCAGCGCAGGCAACGACGATGATCGTGAGCATTAAGTTTCTCGCATGAAAATTCCATCTGCACCGGCTAGAGAACTAGCATTTTTGCGCTCAGTGTTCCGCCTCTAGTCACGGTTAACGACCACACCACGTGCAATTTCCAAGGGACGACGATGATCATGATCACCGGTGCGCAACTCACTCGTCAACGGCGCTGACGTCAAAGCTGACCCACAGTCTCACACTGCCATTAGTCGGCAGATGCAACCGAGTTCGGTGCAAGTGCGTGACTGCTGCAAACAGACTTCAAAGCGTGTGACGGCGAAAAGCAGTCTGTTTGTCGTCGAACTGCTGTGAATTTATAATTTTATTTATAACTCCGTCCTAATCGTGCCAATGCCGCACGGCGAATGAATAATTGTCCCCACGGAGTCTCTATCTCTCTCTCCCTCTCTGTCGGTCGAGTTGGTTGGATGGTGGTGGTTGTTGTACGCTCAATGAAAACTTCGGCGCTGTACAACAGGAAGGAACTTGGAGGCATGCGTCGGGAAAAAAAAGGCCATGACACTGAACGGCAGGCAGGCAGGCTGGCAGGCAATCCGATGATCATAGCGGTGGTGGGAACTGGTTTGATTGCGCGATCGGATGCGTGTGATCGGTGTAAAATGTCAACTGCACAGCTCCCTCGTTTATCCTTTCCGCATTATGGATGGTGCAATTCAGTCAATTTGACTCAGGCCTGTGGAGTTACTTTGATTGTCCGTGTGGTGACACGATGATGCGCTTTGCATTGGCGGATTCTGGGTTATGGTTAATGCCTATTAGTGTGTCGCTATGCAGGAGGGAAGGGGGGGGGGGGGGGGGTAATTTGCCTATCGAAACTGCAAGCCACGTCTCGTCAGACAATCCGTACGTAAATGGGTAAATGGGCAAATGATTCTCGTTAGGCGGCGAGACTGAAAACACTTATTATTGCCTCTCAATAATACACCTGCGCCTCCTCCTCCCCTGGGGGCAAAATCAACTTTCAATTGCGACGCAATTATACGAAACTTTCCATTTGACTATCGTATGCAATTTATTATACGAACTTGAAATGATCGAGCTAAGAGTTTGGCACTTACATTCAGGCATTTTTCAAGATTTCAGTTGAAAATCAAAATCAATGAAAAATGCTGTCAGTTATGCCAACTGTTGAAAATAGGTTAAATGGATTGATGAAGATGGACAATCTAACGATGGAAACGATGGAAACGATGTAAATCCCATTATTCAAGTAAAAAGCTGTCAGTTGCATTCCAGTGATGAAGAAATTACGATTCAACAGAAACTTGATGTCTGAGCTCAACTTAGCGTTCGTTCTTTGAGAGTTTTTACATAGAGCATTCTAAGCTATTTTTGCATTCGCATATTTTGCAGCAAGCAAAATGATATGCAATGCGCGCCTAGGGAAGTCAAAACTGTGTCTTCAAATCGTTTTTTTTTTTTCAATTTCTACGTTTGATCAGTGGCGTCGCCCTGTTCAACAACTCTCAAAACGTAAACAAACAAAACAATATTGGTTT